TATATATATATATATGTATAATTTTTTATTTTTTTTTTATTTTTTTTTTTGGGAAAATTGATCTGTTTTTCAATATTCAGTAGGCGGAGCCCTAAAATTTGTTTCTTTGAAATGCATCCCTAGTTTGGATTATTGTGGTATAGTTAGTTTGAATATTAAGTTTCCAAATCGCTGTTTAATGATTTCAAACTGTTAGGTTTAAAAGGAGATGCATTTTTTTTTTTTCATTGATTTAGCTATTCCTCCATGTTGAATCTCAAGAACTTCAACTACAGTTTGACTCGTAACTTGATAAAATCAGTTGGATTTAGTTTTAATTTTCGGCTTGTTGGATTGTTCATCCAATGTTGCATCATTTTGTCTCTAGTTTTCCTCCTCTGTAGTATTTTTTTTTTTTTTTTCGTGTAAAGAGTCATAGTTTGATAATGGAACTGTTGGATCTGCCAACCAAATCAATTTTTGGGTAGATGAGAAAGTGTCTCATTAGATTCTACTTTACTTTTGATAAATGAAATAACAAAAAAAGTCCACTTTTTTCTCCCACAATGACTCTTGGAGAGGGTTGTTCCTGATCCAGTGATGAGATGTCTTTCAAAAGCATCGTGCGTGAGCTGAAGGAGATGAAAGATGGGATTGGGAGCATGTCCCGAAGAGGGTTTGAAGGAAAACACTGGCGAGGCAGGACAAGGTCGTTTGTAGCTCCTGATGTGGCTCCCTGTGAGCCGATCGAGCAAGGGCAGTGGGCGAATTTGCCACCAGAGTTGCTTTTGGACATAATTCGAAGAGTGGAGGAAAGTGAGACGGCCTGGCCCGCCCGGACAGTGGTTGTCTTTTGCGCGTCAGTTTGTAGGTCTTGGAGGGATATTACCAAAGAAATTGTTAAAACTCCCGAGGAGTGTGGGAGGCTCACGTTTCCCATTTCTTTAAAGCAGGTGAGTTTTATTTTGATCACGTCAAGTTTCGTATTGTTATTATGCTCTTGGGATGATTATTTCTGTTCTGGCTAACGTCTTTATCTTTTGGTTGCTAGCCTGGGCCTCGGAATGCTCCTATCCAGTGCTTTATCAAGAGGGATAGGGCAACCTCTACATACCGCCTGTACTTTGGACTCGTTCCATGTAAGTAATCATTTCTAAGGAAGGTTAAAGTAATTTTAGAAGTGGCATTTTTTACTAGGAGAAATGCTCACCTACCCATGGTGGGCATATGTTAATATGCCCACCGTGGGTAGGGGAGCATTTCTATTTTTACTAGAATAGATAGTTCTGTGGGTGTGTTTGTGTACATGCTTTAAATGAACATGTCCTTGTGTTATATTTAGCTCTTTTTTCTTGGGATTTGTAAGTACTCGTGTTTGCTTGTCTTCCTTTCAGGTTGTTAGACATTCAGCCAATCATTAATCATGAGCAATGGGAGTCTTCGGTGTCGTAAATACTTGTGAACTTGAGTTATTTCACTGTCTTCTTAAAAGTAAATGCAATATAAATGGCGTTTGGAGCATGTCAGTAGGCAGCATTCAAGAAACTATTTTTAGATATACCTAAATATGACTTAGGAAAAAGTAAAAAGGCTATGAAAAAATGAGATCATGGCCTCTTAAGTCTTATCAGATATTTCTCCTTAACCCTATGCATAAACTGATGACCGATCTGCTGAGAATTAAGTGCACTAACTGGTATCACTTCTCAAACTAGGATATAATTGCAACATGAGTTAAAATTCATGTTTTGCAAAGTTAGAAGAAGTGAAGAGGTGTAGGTCTTGAACTAGTATAAGTCCTCCAATGGCCCACAGATGTTTATTACTTTATTGTAGTCTTAGCATTCAGCTTTAATTTAGGGTGCCCATCCAATTGTCTCATGACCCATAGAGGCGAAACTTATCAAACTTGATATAAAAGAGAAATCAAAAGAATCAATTCGCGGGAAAACTTGTTCTTGGGGTTCGTGTACGATACACCCGGAGTTGTCTTAAAACCATACACCATGCGCATGGCCTGGCACTCATACATAGTGTAGGGTTAAGTCATGTGCTGTACGTGCAGAGAGTTATAATGTTAATCTGAAAAAGCATAAACAGAGAGTTATAATGTTAGTGTGTCAAAAGTGACAGAAAGAGCAGTAACTTTATGACATACATGAAGGCGTACCACTCAAACTTTCTGAATCTAATTCGCAGCCGAGGACGAGAACGACAAACTATTACTTGCCGCCAAGCGCATCAGAAGGCCGACAAGCACCGATTTTATCATTTCTCTGGTTGCTGACGACTTCTCTCGAGCCAGCAACACTTTTGTTGGAAAACTCAGGCAATAACTCCTCTCATCATTCTCATTTAAAAATTTCCTTTTTTTTTTTTTATTTTCTTTTTCACTGAACTATAACACAACTTCTTTTCTTGGTTGATCAGGTCTAATTTCCTAGGGACCAAGTTCACCATATACGACAGCCAGCCCCCGAATGCCGATTCGGCAGCCGCCTTCCGCCAGTCCCGGAGGTTCAGTGCCAGCCAGGTCTCCCCCAGGCTCCCTGCCTACAACTACGCTGTGGCAACCGTCTGCTACGAGCTCAACGTACTCCGCACTCGCGGGCCCCGCCGCATGCGCTGCACGATGCACTCAATCCCTACCTCCTCCGTCCTGGCGGGGGGCACGGCCCCCACCCCCATGTCCTTCCCTCACCCTCCACGGCCAGCGTCTCTTCCGCCTGCTGGCTCTTCCAAACGGGCGGAAAAGGATGGTTCTGACTCGGCGGAGCTTGTGTTGCGTAACAAAGCCCCAAGGTGGCACGAGCAGCTGCAATGCTGGTGCCTTAACTTCAAGGGCCGTGTGACCGTGGCCTCTGTTAAGAACTTCCAGCTCGTGGCTGCAGTGGACCCAGCAGCTGACGTGCCGGCTGGGGAGCAGGAGAAGGTGATATTGCAATTCGGGAAGATTGGGAAGGACATGTTCACCATGGATTACAGGTATCCGCTGTCGGCTTTTCAGGCCTTCTCCATCTGCTTGAGCAGCTTTGACACTAAGCCTGCATGCGAATGATTCAATGGTTGGGGTGAGGTGGTGAATATTAGTGTTTATTTTTCTTTCTGTAATGGTGTGTTGTTCACCGTGTTAACGATGTGCTTAATGGACTGTGGCACTCGAGATTGTGTAGGGTTTTCTTTTCTGATTGGAAGGGGGATCAGCCTGGTGGGGAATGCGGCATCTTGAAGAAATGGCCTTTCTCTCTCTCTCTCTCTCTCTCTCTCTCTCTCTCTCTCTCTCTCTCTCTCTCTCTCTCTCTCTCTCTCTCTCTCTCTCGTTAATGTACTGTCTAATGGAGTTATCAGCAGTGACATGGATAATTTGTTGTCATCTGTTTGGTTCTTTCAAATGAGACTGTTTATAATGAAAAATCGTCATCTATCTTGTTCGTTCAAGAATCGCAGGATATGGTGTACCATTTGCTTGGATGCATCATAGCTGTGTTGAATTTAGAGAATGCATGGACTTGAGATGTGTTCGAACATGAGGCATGCTCTGTTGAGGGAAAATTCAGCATACGACTTCATGTGCATGTGATGGTTTTTGTTGGTTTGAAGGGAATTTAGTTCAAATTATCTGTTCACAGGGGGAACACTAGGGTATGTGACTGTTGCTATACCATCTGGTTTGTTGTCCTAGGAGAATTGATGGACTCTGTTAGATATGATGTACGATGAGGTTTTACGCTAGAACGTAAAGAATTAAAGATCTATAATGGTACTAGCACAAAAGCCATATGGATTACAAGTTTCGTATTGATAGGTTTCACCACATTTCTCACTTAAAACATCACCCCTCTTATGTAAACATCAATCGAATTCTCAAGAAGACCAATGACAAACAAAAATGGCTTTGTTCTTCACCAAACTAAAGCCTTTTCCTGTTTTCTATACTCAAGCATCATATTAGAGATATAAATTGTATTTTATTTTTATGTTTTACATCACTTTAGAGTTGCTACTATTAATTAACAACTTCCTTGTATTTTGCCCTAGTATAAATACAGGACCGAAACACTGCATAATTCAAAATTTTAATCGATTCAAGCTCTCTCTCTCTCTCTCTCTCTCTCTCT